TAATAATAATATGAGAGAGGGTATATTTTCTTTTACACATATGTGTGTAATAAATAGAAGCGGTAGTATCAAAAGCAACAATTCAGTCATTACAAATTACTCTTGCACATAAAAAAGGGGAATCCTCACAATGCCTAGAAGCAGCAAGCACCCCACCTGTCGAAACTGTGGTAAATCACAGTTGGATGTTCGGGTTATGTGACCTGTGTGTTCCAAACCACACTTCAGAGGAGTGTTTCGAAAGGTCTACGCTTCGGAAAGTTAACAGTGTTGAAACATTAGTATCAAGCTTTTCAGGAGATATAGGAGACTGAGGAGACCTTACTTGAATCTCCTATAGAAACTGTGACTCTTGTGAATCCTTGAGAAGAGGTCAAATCTCCTTTGTCTACAATTTCTCATTATTATTTATTACTTAAAAATCACCACAGGAGGTACCAGTATCTGATTTGACAGAGTTTGACACCAGATGCCCTGGCATTTCTCCAGCTGGAACTCAACCAGCAACCTTTAATCTGTTATTCATGTCAGAGCATTAATGTCTTTTTTAAAAGTAATTGTCCAACAGTCAAATAATTCTTTTATCAGAGTACTGCATGTATTTGTCATGTCTGTTGCAAATCAGTTTTAAATCTTTTTAACTTGAACAGTTAGATTTACCCGTCTGCTGAGACATTTTAGCTGCATTTTACTAAGAATAGCATTGCCAAGTAAATTTGATATTTTTTGATTGTGGATCATGATCTTACCTGCAGATGCAGGGTGACAAAGAAGGAACAGGATCATTAGCTTCACCACCATGTTCAGCATGTTGGAGTTAAACTGAAGAACTAACAAGAGGTTTTACAAGCTCGTTTAGTTTGAAGGTATTTCCTGGTTCAGGTTACATTTTCAGGTGTGTTCAATTTCAGCAGAAACCAAACAAGCCTTAACTCTTACTCATACTATTTTAATTTGACTGCCAGCAGCTTCTTTTGTTCAATTAAAGAGGGTTAAAAAGTGTTTGTACTTGTTCGTGCCTGTGTGCATGTGTGTGTCTATAAAAGAGGTGGAGAAAAGAAGTTTCTTTATTTTATCTGTCCAGCAGCAGAGTGAACATCCCCTCTGTATAAAGAGATCATTTGAAGGAAATGAACATGATTTATTGAAATACAGATTGTTACTAATCTATCCTTCATTAGCAGATTGGATTTGAACAATGTTATGAACTTGCTGGAGTCAAGATTTCAGTGGTGGCAGAGATGAACCAGGTGGAAATTTGGAAGATGATCTCCATCTAACAAGGATGAGGTAAAGATGTGGAAGAGGCATGCTGTGCCATTGTGAATCTAATGACAGAAAAGCACAATGAGCAGAAGCTGGTTGGCTCACAGAAAGAAGAAAATGACTGTGGCGGAGTGATGATGAAAAAATTAAGTTTGACAGAACTCTGAACAGTAGATTGCTAGATGTCTGGGTCATCTCCAAAACTTCAGATCTTGTGGGGTATTCCCGGTCTTCAGTTGCCAGTATTCATCAAAAGTGGTCCAAGGGAGGAACAGTGGTTAACCGGCAACTGGGTAATGGGTGGCCACACTCACGGATGCACATGGGGAACAAAGGCTCGCCCATGTGGTCCAATCCAACAGTTGAGCTGATGTAGCTTTAACTGCTAAAAAAAAAGTTTTTTAAAATAACATAACATTACTGTAATCAAGTTACTTTTTTCAAGTAATGAGTAAAGTAAGGGATTACTGTTGTAAAAAAGTAATTAGATTACTGTTACTTTCATATAAGCTCCCTGCGTTACTGCAATACTAAACAGTGATATTGTTTGTGAGAGTGTCTCTTGACAATGATGTAAGCGCATGCGATGTCCATGGTAGAAACAGATGTGTGTAGATCACCAATGGATAATTTCGAGTATGGGAGAGCGTAAGACCATGCAGCATTTAAAGCTTTGAAGTACTGACCTTACTTTGAGTTTGATTCAGTAGTAGTAGTACACTTCGTGGGAAGAAAACGTCTTTCTACAGCATAAAATTATACTTCTAATCTGAGCAATATCCGAGCATGCTGCCACAGGAATGTTAAACAAATCTCGTCAAGTCAAAGATTGTTGCATAAAATTGAATTTTTGCTTTATGGAATGTGCATAAAGTTAAAAGATTAAAACTCATAAAACAAGTTTTAAAAAGAAGCTTTTTCATTTGATTCAACATTATATGATGGATTGTGCAGACAAAATAGAATTGGGCTGAAAGGTCTATTGCTTTATTACTGTGACAGAACCATGGTTGGTTCTACGGTTGCTGTTCACACGCAGCTGCGGCTTTCCAGTCACCAATCGAACATACACACCACCAACCGGTCCTGTTCGTCCACCTCCCTTGAAGCAGCACCACAGACAATCCCCAACCACATACGCCCATCGCCTGACTGAGGCCAGGGAGGCCGAACCTACTCCCCCCGCAGGCGGGAGAGGGTATCAGCCCTGACTCTCGGTGCCCCTGGCCCAGAGACAGAGGGCAGTGTTAGTTCAGGTGGCCACCCACTTAACCAGCAGTGGCGGTGACAAGGTGGGTCACCTGTGGTGGCCGTGGTTCTCCTGAAGCGATGGCCTCCAGCGGTGGCAGAGGGCACCCAAAGATTTTTTGGGTGGTGTTAATTACCTCCTGCTCAGCCTTCCTGTTCTCAGTAGTGGCCCCTGCATACCAAACACCCAGGCTGTAGGAGAGCATGCTCTCCACTGAGGAGTGGAGAGCATGCTCTCCACTGAGGAGTGGAGAGCATGCTCTCCACTGAGGAGTGGTAGAAGGCCAGCACAGTTTCTGGTCCAAGTTATTCTTTCCCCAGGACACGGAGGAAGTGCAGCTGTTGCTGAGCCTTCTTTACCAGGGCTATGGAGTTTTGGATCCAGGTGGTCAAATTCAAATTCAAATTCAAATTCAAATTTTATTTGTCACATACACAGTCATACACAGTACGATATGCAGTGAAATGCTTA